GCATTCAGGGGTGAAACTAGGAAATCCAAAGCACAACTGCAGTTGCAACTGGCAATGGATGCGAGGGAACAGAGCTTTTTTGCCACATCAGCTGCAAAAGAGTGGCAAAGGGAAGTGCGTCTCCACTGCTGAACAGGTGATCTAGTAAGGAAGTAAAGTGTGAGGTACTCTGTACTCTTCAAGGACAAGATCCTGGATTCCCAGGTCTCTGTGCCTGGTAACACAGTTTGGGGAAAAGAGGAATTACCCACAATACAGGAATTTCAAGTTAGGACACACTGGATAAAAGGTGGTCTCCTTTGGTTTGCCTTATTCCTGCTTTGTTTCCTCCCTGTTTCTTTTTCTCCCCAAGATCATACGGTTCATAACATGCAATTTAGATATAATATCAAGAGGGAGAGGGCAGAGACATTTTACCTGATTTTTCTCTTGAGCAATAGTTAAACCTTTATTTCTTCCCACAAACATGCATGTCTATCCTCTCACTTGTCTCAAAACTCAGCTCAGGAATACTGAAAAAGCGATATCTAAATATTCACTGTAGCCATAAAGCACTGGGAAGACATTACACAGCTCCAGTTGCACAGGAGTGAGAATTAAGTGGAAGTAAGAAGAAAAAGTATCAGTACCGGTGTCACCGGAGCAGCTGCATGACTCTGGATAAAAAGGAAAGGTAATAGCTCTACTATTGAGCTGTATTCTGAGAACTGACATTTTGGATCCTTACTCATAGCAGAAGAAAGCCTATAATAGGACAAAATGGCGGGGGGTTGGGTTTCTTTGTAGAGACCAATTATGTTGGTACTATAGTCTTCACAGGAAGAAATTAATATCCTTGATGTCAGTTGATATGGCTGAACACAAAGAAGAGCTGTTTAGGCAATTACACACACACAAAAACCACACTAAGAATGTAGATCAGCATCCCTGGCATACAAACAATATGAAGCAGAGCTCACAGAAACCTCTAGCTTCCAGTAGGGACATGTAGCTTAATTATGACTTCTATTGTGCATACTCAGTAATTTACTAGTGTGTTTTATAGAACCTATTTCTACTATTACTGTTTTCCAAAAAATAACAGCAGTAAAAGCAGTCTGAATGAAAACCTTCCTGACAATTACAGCACTGCATCTATAAAGCAGCCTTAACCCAGAAATGCCTCTAACACTTCAAAACTCTTACCAGATGAAGGATGTCTTTCTTAGAACGTGTCACTATTCTAAAAGCAGGTCTCACTAGTAGAGTAGTCCCAGACCTATTGCAAGAACCAGTTTTAATTTAATTTACCCAACTAACCATGGAGACTGAAAATTTACATGCTCCCTAACTGTCTCAGGCTTACTTTTCTTTGAATGCTTAAAGGCAAAATGTTTACCATGTTAAATGGCACCTGGCTGTGGATAACACTTATGTCATAACTTATTTTCTTTCTCTCTGAAAATCTCCTAAAATTTGACCATTCACACTGTCTCTCAACACGGAAAACCACAGAATACATATCATCCTACAAGAAAACTTGAGACTAAATTTAGCACAGAAAACCAGAATGTCTCTGAAATTCACTAGGTTTCAGGAAAGATCAAGAGTGTGATGAACATCCTGAATATCTGCAAGGGAACTTACTAATTGAAAACAGGTCACAGACTGCAGGTAACAGATCTTACACTGTGCTAACAGAAAATAAAAAAGCACAGATTTCAGCTGCTCATATCAGTTTGAATTCAGAGAAAAGTTTTTCCAGTTTCAACTGTGGTAGTCAATTTAATCTGTTTACATGAAGATCATCAACCAGAGAAGAACTTTAGGAAAGTCCAGTGCTGCACTGCTCAAGCACATACATCAGTAGCAAATGAAAACAGGCTGCTCAGGGAAGTGGTGGAGTCACCAGCCCTGGAGATGTTCAAGGAACATGTAGACAAGGTGCTCAAGGACATGGTCTAGTGGGTATATGGTAGCACGGGGTTGATGGTTGGACTAGATGATCTTATGGGTCTTTTCCAACCTTAGTGATTCTGTGAAAATGCAAAACCTTTCATCAGTTTCTAGAGCGAACAGCTTTTGTGCCTGGTGAACTGATGTCTACTATGATAGTTTTATATGGCTGACTCTGCCCACGCAGAATGCTGTTATAGCACACTCAATGACATAAGTAACAAGTAAGGCTGTCAAAGTAGATTCCAAGCAGGCAAAGGAAACCAAGGGAAGGTTACATCTGAGGGAACTAAAAAAAGCTTTGGGGAAGGTGACACAACTCCTGTAGAGATGACAGAAGTTAAAGAGCACTTTTGTAGAGCACTATAGACATTATAGCGCAGAACAGGATTTCTCTTATATCTTTCCCCTTCTTACATGAATAAGGAAGAACAGGACTCCAACTTAAGACAACTGGTAACCAGAGCAACATATGTAATGAAAATAGCTATCTGTGAATGAAGAGATGACAATATCCTGAATGCTCTACCTCAGTTTTCCTCAAGTGCCATTCCTACACTGATTTTAACACACAGAGCGCAATCAAGTTATACATGACAAAACAGATTAAGAGCAATCACTCTCCAGGTTAGTATTTTTAAGGTCATTTGTCTCTTTAAAGACACTGAGCTAGACCATAACACTGGCCTTGGCTATATAGTTAATTAAACATAAAGTATGTAGAAACTCCTGAAGGAAAGAAAGGTATTAAAATTCATTGTAGTCTGCACCCCAGTCATTTAACAGCACATCATGCAGAACAGGACAAAACCCCACCATAAAACTACCCACAGCACAGTACGAGGGAAATCATTTCAACTTGATAGGCTACAACTACATTCCGGTCTTTTTTTAAAGCGTGTGACACTGGTAGTGGTAAAAATGTGTTTTGAAATACTGAACAAAAACGTTATCTTAAACAGCTGTCCTTACCACTGAAAAGTGTTAATTCGTACTCTGTTCTTGAAAATTAGTATTCCACCTGACATCACTCCAATCATTATGTCATTGTTACTCTGATCCTTTAAAAGAAAAGAGAAAATTACTTGAAGAACAACAAATATCTTTGAAACTGCATATATATTCATTCTCATCTCTCTCTCTAAATAATCAAACACCATAGCAAAACACATCTCAATTAACATGAACAGAAATGTGTTTTAATAAGAAAGTAATTAGTCATTCCTATTTAAGACAAGCACAAATGTTTGCTCAGAGTTTTCCGTAAGATATCACATAATTTTAATTTCCTAAGTCCTGTCTTCCACCAACTTTGAAGAAACACACAATATATTCTAGCAGTTTGTTACAAAGAGCAGCACTAATTGACTGGCTTGACATTTGCTACACTAAAAGCAACCAGCAACTTGAATTCCTACCTGAAAGGAAATTGCAATCTCAGAACACAGAGAGGAGAGATTCTAAAACAAACAATATTGTGAGCATATTTAAATAGCATATTTTTCCTGAAATACCTCTACGCTCTAATCAAACACCTGCTGTCGATATCTCAATATGTGTGCAACAGCAGAATACAGAGAGCAGTGAAATGGGGTACGTTTCAAATTCTATTGCAAGTTGCTATAACCTGAGGAAGTCGGACAAGAATGTTTAAACAACAGAGGTGTCTTAGTTGTTAAAAATACTTTTATTCAGAGGCTTGGCAGAAATGGCAGCACTGTACTGACATGTTAAGATGGTTTAAGTCAAGCATTCAAGCAACCTGCTTTACCCACTAAAACTAACACTATACCAAATTACAGTATGGTCACGTACCTTACACTAACAGTTTATATTATATAATAATAATGACTTATAATTTGGTTCTAACTGGAACCAAATTACATATTTCTCAAAGCTGACAGATCCTTAAATATCCAAAGCACATTCAAACAAGTACATTTTCCTTATTCACCAGTAGCCAACTGAACTGGCATTCAAGCCAACAAGGCCCAGCCTGAAGAACACACGTACAACTAAGCCCAAATTTAAGCAAAGAAATAACCTCACTAGTGCGCAACAGTGGCTATTGCAATTGGTGAATCACAGCTGCGCATCTAAAAAGATAATATAAACATTTTTTTCTCTTGTAAGCAGCAGCCAGGAAAACCCACTAGAAATAAATATTCATTTTCCCATAAATCTCAGAATAAACCAGTTTTAAGTTACTAGTTCACACAAACTTACCCTTGCATAGTGCAATTCAACTCCATAAAGTTCTAAGGTACGTGCTGTATTGAGATAACTGAACTCTGCTTCTGCAGGAGACAACCCTCTGAAAGAAAGAAGCTTAATCAGAACATTCTAACATAACCCACACACACACCAGGCTCCCCAGCGAGCTCAAACAGAAAAATCTGCATTTGTTTTACTACTTCTACACCCACCCTGAAATCTGAATTTCCTTTCTCACCATAAACAAACTGTAACCCAAACATTTTAACAGAAAACCACATCTGTGTTTCTACACAGACAAAGTCTGGACAAGAGTCCACAACACTGCTTGCAAACGCACACAGTTTCTTTCCAATGCACCCTATCACTTGAATGCCTGCGGAGGTCTAGAATCTGGAAATTACTTTTGCAGTCCTGTATTTTCTATCGATAACAAGAGTTTCTCCCCAAGGCTCACCCTTTAAATTTAAATTAACATCAACTCACTATGTCTTTACCTAACACAATTTGCTGAACCACAGCATTACAGAACATTCAGCAGTTTTTAAAGCTGATAACATGCCCCAATTAAGCAAACATTTTTGTAATCGTAGCTCCCATTGTTAAATTTAACTGTAACAGAAAATCACTTTAGTTCTAAAATACCAAGGAACCATAGCTGAAAAAGCACCACGATGTTACACACTGAAAAAAAAATATTTTCCATTGCTTCATCGCCTTTTCCTCTTTAGTAAAAGGTCACAGACTTGCACACAGGAAAGAGCAGATATTGAAGAAAAGGACTTTGTTACTTCTAAACTAACTCTTGTTTACTGGTGAAAGCACCATGAAAACAAAGTCTTTATGCACAGAGCATTCTCAAAGACTGAAAAAAAACTCTTAAAGAAATTATACCTTGCGAAGTTAATATCCTATGTAACACTCACAAATACTGTTGTCAGTGTACCCTTACCATGTTCATTTTTATACTTACTTTCCCCGTCATTCTATCATCTGTGCAGAGTATCAATGGTACTTACTATACAGACAATCTACCAAAAAATCACATTAAACGTACTCAAAAAAACCCAACAAACCCCCTCCCAGAAAACTTTAAGACAAAATACTCTATTTGTTTTATATATATATAGCACAGCACCAGCAGTCAGGATTTGACAAAGTCAGTCACTATCTTCTGCTGTAAATCCTTACATGTGCTGCTGATGTAATTTTGCTATTTCTTTTTCAAAGTCTTGAGGCTGGCTAGGGATGAAAGAATAGTCTGAGAGGTAGCCTGGCAAGTTTTCTGAATGGTTGTAGTCTCCCAGCTCGGCTAAAATATTAAAAAGAGAGATTATTGTTTATCACTGATGCACTTGGTATTGTGCAATGCCCCCAAAATCACAAGTCCGCTCCCACATACTTTATGTTCTACAGCAAACAGAAATAGAGAAGACATTTGAGGTCCTCTTTTCCAATAAACAGTCACATTCTCAGTGAATACCGTGAAGATCGCTTAGAGAGAGCTTTGAGTAGGTACTTCTGAAGAAAGTTGATAATGTGTTTAATTTTTATTACACAAGTGAATTCATAAATGCTGTCATAATGGTTAGCACTAAACAATATACTTCAAGGTATTTGATTTTTTTTAATTTTACCTTGCTTGCTTCCATGTGATTACACAATACATATATATTTAACACTACAACTGCTATTTCTTTAGTAAGAGCTGCAAAACCCACCAACTCATTCTGTACCAAGTTATTTTCAGAAGCATTAGAAAAATATTTTTTTGCACATTCAATTGTATGTGTGGAAAAAAGTACACATACATACAGTTTCAAGTAAAGTAGTTCCAACGTAGGTGTTACAAAGTATATTTACATAATTTAACACTTTCTTGTAATTTTAAGAAATAAGTAAAAATCACATTTATTGTCAGAATAAAAAAAACCCCAGCCATACAAACAACAACATTTGCTAAAAATACAGGCTTTGAGGCTTTTAAACTATAATCCAAAAAAAATTCAGCTGCAAGTATCTGCAATCCGTGTAACAGACCTACAGTGACAGGTAAGTAACACAACGTGTGACAATCGGAAAGCTTACAGCGACGCAGCTCGACACGGGGTCCTGGGCAGGCCTATTGACACTCCTAAGGGGCATGGAAGAACTGACAAGGGGGATGAAGGCGCTCACAAGGGGGAGGCCAAGCAAGGGAAGGGAAGGTAGGAAACAAGTCTGGGGCACTTGCGTCACCAGAAACGGATCCTATTTTAAAAAATTTAAAAATTGGAAAATAGGACCAGGTTTCTCAGCAGAGTGCATGGCTTACTAAAATCCACTGCAGGAAGTAGTGGACTGTCCTAGATCTACATCTGCTATTTACCAAGAGCTAAACCGAGAGAGTTTAGTAACAGGCGTGCACAATCACTAGAGCTCTGCACGCAGGAGAACTTAAGGGCAGTGGGATCTCATTTATAAATGTAGCTACAGTGTCCTCTACATCCCACCACTTCTACAGTATTTGAAAAATAAACATGTTGCATTCTTAAAAGCTTAAAGTATTGTGAACTTTTCATAGTGCCTGCTTCATTATCAAATATTTCATCTCCTCTATAGCATGACTACACTTGTAGTACCTATCTATTTCCAAGCAGATGGAGTTAGGGAGTTTAGGAGAAATTGTTCCGTTGATTGATCTGGAAAAAGGTGACCACTTTCCAAAACTGTGCATAAAACATTACATTAACATTACTACGTGTTTTTTCCCCTGAAGAGATTAACACGGACACATTTCCACGATACATAGAAAGTATACATAGTATTAAATGTAAACATAAGTACCTTTAATAGCAGAAAAACACATGGATATAGATGGATAACAGGATTGCTTATAAAACTGAATTTCTGACAATCACAAATTTCAAGAACTAGGTGCTGAACAGCCTCTTGGTTGGTTGTTGTGAACTTTTTTTCCTCTCAACATTTAAGTTTATGAAGGAAAAAGGGGAGAGAGGAAGAGGACTAAATCTCAGTCTTCAAGACTTATCTACCCAGTGGATGGCTTAAAATTGACAAACACGGGCACTGAACTTGTTGTCTAGATATGACCAGAATTCCCTTTTCCACACCTATTGGGAGGTTCACTGTATGGTATACTAAAAAAGTTTAACTGTAAAAGATGCTTTAGTGTCATTCACAAGAAAAAACTTAACCCCACACTACAGAATACAAAGAAATACAAGAGGGTTGTTTCGGTGCTTTTTAACTGCGTAGGTTTAAAGAAGGAAAGCAGAGAGCGTTACGAGTAATTTTTTCCATATCTAATTCAGTGAAACATGCTGGGGGAGAAAAAAACCCAACCATATTTCCTTAATCACAAGAAAAGTAGCATCCTGTCCACAAAATGACAATATAATGCTATACAAACTATGCTCTTTAGAAACTAATCAACACTACCTTTTATATATTTCAGTACTAACATGTACATGAATACTAATTATACTTACATTGAACAGCATAGGAAGCCAGAAGAGCAGCAGTATTGTAAGGACAGGGCAATCTGTTTTGGTTTGGTTTTAAAATGAGAAATAAATAAAATTACATATTTCATATGAAATTTGGTTATTTTGAAACGTCTAAGCTTTCACTGTCTATAAACAAATTGGACATATAATTATTCTAAACACTTCTACTTGCATAAACATTATTTTATTTTAATATTTTGCAGGTAAAATCCCTCACCATTAGCTTTTTTCAACCAAAGCTGCATTTAATGTTTAACCCAACAAAAAGGGCTTACCTTCCAGTAAGAATGTCCTGTTTAATTTGCAAAAAATACTGGTACCTGATTTAAAGAAAGAAACAAAAACCAGTATAATTAAAAATAATTTCACTTAATGATTTTTCATAAATGTAATGCATTTTGCTTTCAGTTAGTGCAAAACTAGAACTTTACACTTTGCATGCTACTCCTTAAACTCCTATGGGAAAGAAATTAAACTGTGATTAGTAAAATAAAATGCAACTTTGTAAATTAAACGAGTTACAGGCTATCAAGTTATACATTATATTTCACTGGAAGGCTGCAAATTTCACATTCTACCTGCTTTATTTTCCAGTATTTATGTTGAACTTTAAAAGAAGGAAAAAGAAGTGCCTTCATGATGAGCAAGTGTGAATAACAGAAGTATTCAATATGGCAACCAAAAGTTTAAGTTCGCAACTGTGTATGGAGGTACCGTAATAATAATGATTTGTACTCCAGGTAAATAAAACTAATTTATTCTCATTGAATATTTTAATTACTCTGTTTTCATTTAAATGAAAATAATTGCTCTCAGTATTTTGGAGCTACATTCTTAAATAAAAGTAGTAGATTCTGTCAAATGCCTTCTGACTGAATTCCTTGAACTTCTGAAGTTTTCTTTAATTATGATGTGAGAACATCATGTTTATACAAATTCATCTGGTCTTCCTATACCCACTCAAGTCAGGAGGGAGATGGAAACAACAAAAGGAACAGACAAACACTTCAAACCAAGAACTATTTCCCACCGAACAGTGGCAACAGGAACACTATGACTTAAAAACTTCAAACAAACCTAAAACTGCAAGAGACTCCCCTCTAAGTTACTTTGTTTCTCAAAAAAACTCCAAACATTTTGTTAACATCTCCAAATATTTTGTTCATTCAATTTAGTTCCTTCATATTTCACTCAAACATTTGAGACAATTTCACAGTACAAGTGTTGGTATCAAGTGGCAAATCACACCTGCTATGGACCAGTCTGTGTCAGTGGAGAAGTGGGTAACCAACAAGCCTGACTGAAATGTCAGGATGTTGGCAAAAGCTTAAGCTTTCAGAAAAAAAAAAGAAAAAACCAACAACTTATTAACAGAGCATAAAAGCAGCTGTAGAATTTGGGCTCTAATGCTTTATTTTGAAAAAAAAAGTTGTACTGAGTGAAAAATTTAAGCACTATTCCTGATTTCTTATAAAACTGTTCTTGTTTGAGACCTCCTACATAATTCTTATAAAAATAATCTGGTTTCCTTCTTGTAGTTCGGATTTGAAAGTAGAGAGTCAGCCATACCCATTCTTCATAAACACTCATCAACATTACTTATCAAAAACACCTAGTTCAACTGAAACCAAACATTAAATATTTCCCAATATTAAATATACTAAGAAATTAAAACCAGAATACACCACTTCATTGCACGTAATACAACTTCTCATATTTGTGTAGTCTTTAGAAAGCAGATGAACTACCACTTTCAAGACTTCCACAAACATTTACAAATACACACACAGAAATCCAACCATTTACAAACTAAATATAGTGGAAAGGTAAAACAATCCATGTTTGAAAGAATATGAGGGAAAACAGTTGTAAACTGACAAGTAAAGATGTCAGCCCCTGTGCTCAACTCCTAGAAAACTGTCTAGAGGTTCTCCGACCGACCAGAATGGCAAGAAGTTTACTTTAAGGTATTAACCTCAAGAAGTTAAAACTGATGTATTTTCCAGGCTTTAGAGACCTCAAAATACTTTCTCATTTTCCACCTTAAAATGCATATTGAAACTCAAAAAAAGAGAGACAGATAAAGCAAAAATTCTTTACCTGTTAAAAAAAGCAATAAATTATGAGCTAAATTTATTAAAACTATATGCTTCACATGCTTAGCTTGAGCATCTCTTCACAAATACCCTGAACAGTTTTTCCTGTTAACATTTATGGCTGCAAAAACGTAGGACAAAAGCATTCTGTCTGTGCAGCTGCACCTTCATTGTATTTTACTTCTTGTGGTGTAATGCTTTATTAGAAATATTCCCTGGTACTTAAGGGACCTCATGATTAATGAATATACGAAGCAGAGTTCATTTCCTGTCCACTGTTTCCAGCAAACAGTGAAGTTAATGGGTTGTTAGTGGACCATCCCAGTTTGAACACTGAAGCCTCCCATACTACTGAGCAAAATGGGAAATCAATAGAAGCGTTAGCAATGTAGGTCTGCACAACAAATTCAGCTAAAACTATGAAGGCAGCATTGCACTGCAATTCTTCCTTATAGGAATACAACTAGAAAAGGGTAAGACCGAATTATTGCTAACTGGAGTCAACATTAATAAGCAAGTCTTTCTGCCATGAGCAGAACTAATGAAGCTTCATTTCCTACCAGGACAAGTTCCTAAAGCCAAACTCTCCAACACCAGATGAGCTCTCACTGACCTTTCCTGACCTGGGGCATTCATAACCTGCCTCCCTCACACAATGCTGCAGAGGTCTAATAAGAAATGAGCTTGCACTGAACCTTACCCTGATGTCTATTCATACTGCCTCATATGTCAACTCATTCCTCTGTTTTCATTAGATTTATAAAAAATGAGCACCTCTGAAAGGTCTCAGCTTGAGCTGGAACTGTCAGAAGTTTGTGTTTGTTTCTTTTTTTAAGGGGGAAAAATACTGATTAGGCAAAAGGACCCCATATTTGCGACATGCATCCTGACTTCACTCCAAAATCCACCATGGATAGTAGCTCTTTATAACAACTCCAAATACAAACGAGTTTTCTTAGGGGCAATTAGGCCTATTAGCAAAAAAGGCAGAGCTGACCTAGATACAGCAATCATACATTATTTCTCATCTAAAAGGATGCTGTATTTATAGCTTTGTATTTACAGCTTAACATTTGAAGTAAACAGTTCACTTTACTTCATAGGTGACCAACATTTACTATTTTTTCCATCTCCTTTATAATATTACACATTGTCCTTTAATTCAAACATCACTCTCTTCATTATTCTGATGTAGTAAATTGCCATGTTTTCCTAGAGTAAATATTTCAGTAAAACAAAGCCTGATCCAGGATCTCTGGGATTCATCTTAGTAAATTCTCTGCATAGATGCATGTAAAATCTTGTCCAAAATGTGACAAATCAAAAAAGAAATTCTAAACAAATGTGGACTCAAATTTTCATTTTTGGTACTTAGTTTCTAAAGCTATGCTTAATAATTTAGATATTGTTTCCTGAACAGGGCTGACCTGTTTTCAGAATGGCTGACATCCAAAAATTCCAATCTGTCAAATCATGCCACTTATGTAGAGGACCAGAACTAATTAAGAATACTGAAAATTTAAAGCATTTCTTCAGAGACTAATTGCAACTCACAAGCCTCCGATCTTGATTCACACTAAGCATTTTCTTCAACAGACTTAAACACATTGCTATCAAAATAAGCTTACATGCTTCAAGCTAGGACTACCACCATACAAACAGAGATTAATATTATTAGTGCCAAGCAGAAAATTGTGGGGGTAATCAAGAAAAAAAATGCAGAAAGCTCAGGAATTTTTTAATCACAAAGTAGAACACAAGTAAGGATAAAATTAAATTTGTACTCATTGGTGAATAGTGGGATTAAGTTTTTCCTCTCTTCTCTATTTTCCCTTTTCTCTTTCTACTTGGTAGTATTTTCTTCATGTAGTTACTTCACTGTGCATATACATTTGCAAATATATTCACAGAGGCTTTTTGTTATATTGATTTGGTGCCACTGCATAGGTCATATCTGTAATTATTAGGCAAAAATTAGAAGCTTGCATATACAACACAAAAATTATTTATAAGAAAATTTCCATGTTACGCCTTTAAAAACCTAATCATCATTTTCCCCTTAAACGTGAGCCTTCTAGATATATTTTTTTATTGATAAATTAGCTAAACCTACCTTGTATATTCTTCCTGCAGCTTGTTTGGGTCAGTTACAAAAAACTTAACTCTGAAGTTCAAACTGTGAGGAGATCCTCCTACGGTCAAGAAAAGTTATTTCTAATTAATCAGGGTACCCTGGAAAAACAGCATAATGATGACAAATGAATTGGCCAAATACATACATGTACTCACTTTTTAATTGTTTCCTGATAGGTTTGTTTGGATCCAACCACCTCTGGAAAGAGACAAATTATAACACCAACTTTAGAGAAGCAAAATAGTACACATTACTGTCTTATATGCCAAGAAACTGATACTTTTCTATTACTTTTTACTTAGTCTTCTACCAAAATGTCTTACCGGCATACAAAGTCTTGTTACTAGTTCTGGAAAGACACCAATACTATCATCAACAGCTGCTACTATTGTTCTTCCCTGAGGGTAACCTCAGAGACAGGTATCTGAACAACAAACAGTGCTAATTTGACTATGACTTGGTTCTGTGACTATCACATACACCTGGGAGATGTTAGAACTCAACTATGGTGTGTTTACCAATCTTCAGCTACACCTTAAGCTGATTATCCAAGGTGAACTAACTGTGGCAGCAAAGAGCTAAGTAATTAGCTAAGGCTAATTTACCTAACTCAGAAGTTCCGTTTGTTTAAACTAGTTTCAGTACTTTTGGCTGTACTACTGGATTAAGGACTACAGAACAATTTTACCAACAGCGCACGATCTTGACCATCTCTACATGAGAACGCTGCTGTGGGTAAGTACAGACAGATCTTTACAAAAATCAATGCTGCTAATTTCAGATGGAAGTACGGTTCTCTGGAAAGCCCTACAAGTCGCATAAACCACTCCCCCACCAGCAACCCAACAGACTCTGCATGTACTAACATAGTTCGGTTACCTCATAAATCTATCTTTGTTATGAATACCATTCAATTCCTCATCCTGCCTTGCAATGCAAGCCCACAAGCCTCAGGAAACTGTTAGAGGGCCACAATTCCTGTGAAGTGACAGAGACCTAAGCCTGTACGGCATGTAACTACCTCCCATTTATCACAAGGCTTTTTCATATTTTCATGCGAGGGAGGAAGAAGCAAACACACAGGTAAATGAGCTATCTGACACACACTATGGGCCTGAGGTTAGTCCTGACTCATTTTATTCACTGGGATAAAAAACAAATACATCCAGATGCTTGATCTCCTTGCAGTAGATGACTTAAGAGGAAGTAAAGACACAGTCTGATACAGGTTAAAGAGTGATACTATGTCAAAACAACCTCACAGAGGATCAATTGACTTTTAAGACTAAATGTGAAGGTTTAAGAAAGGACCCTCCAGCCAGGCATACACGTGAATTTTATATAAGAATCTTTCAAAACACAGTGAAAAATACTTGAGTATCTTTAAGCGAGGGGTTATGATCCAATATATCTGATAAATGCACAGATCTGACTAATAATCTTGGGATTCTCTTTTTTTGGTGTGCGAAGTACTGTTTGAGATTGCTGTTAGTCCAGAAAACCTGGAATTGAAATGCATTTACATTTCCTTCTGGCTGTAAAAGATTCATTTGGTATGTACTAGCATAGCTCAAATCACAGAAAGGTAACTTTTCAAAAAATCTTTTTTGAAGGCAATATCCATACTATCAAGTGATAACGTTGGTTCCAAATGCAAAAGATGATTTTCTCTCTGGGAAACTGCAGAGGGTTAAACCACTTAATATTGTAAAGAAGATGAAGTTGACAGGATTTAGGCAAAAGTACCAGAACTTTATGAATCGAGGTGCTGCTAGCAAGTTGTGTTATCCCATTTACATCCCGGTAAGTCTGAGGCAGGGAGATCTGAGGATCCATGAATTCTGTACCCCAGTCCCTAGGAGAGTCATTTCTGTACTCTCTCCTCCCACAGCAATGATCCTTGTCTCAGTGCCTCCTGGCCAAGGGTGCTCCAGCACCCACACTGCTGCACCCTGACTCCCACTACGCACTGATACCCACTTCTCAGCAGTGTCCCAGGCACCCACAGCCCAAGACCCTAGACAAATACACCACTCCAGCTGTACACAGCGTCAATGCTTTCTTGCACTGACCTTTCCTGTGGCATAAATACCACATAAAAGCATAAAGCTTGTGCAGTTTATGGAATCCATGTTTAGGCACAATGACAGAGGTTTCACACTCTGCTAGTAGAATCCCCTTTTTGCCCCCATCACTAAGTCCTGCCATATTGTGTAATATTCCACTGTCCTATTTTACAAGTAACTAGAACATTTGTCAATCCAAACTGGTTTCTTTGTCCAAATGAACCGAGTGTAAAAGTAAACTAATATCAAAAACTGGAATTAGTCAAACCCCTAAATTCTTCAAACTTACATGACTAATACTGGTAACATTTCCATTTAGCTCTGACACACTGTTTTCATGGCAACTAGATACCTGCTGAAAAGCCAAAATATTTATAAGTCAAAAGAATACTAAACCTTTAAAGCATGGGCTTGTATCACAGAGCTGTGAAGCCATTCTTCTTTCAGCCTAACTCTTAACCAGAGCCTTGAATTAGAGTGTTGTGTTCAAGCTGCTTCCAGACAGATAAACTTAAAAAAAGAGGCCTAGAGGTCTAAGCTTTGGAAAGCCAGATCGTGAGAATGAGAAACACTACAAATTTCTCAATGTTGAATAAAATATTGAGTGATATTCAATCAAATACTTCTTAAACAAAGCAGAACAATAATTCAGCCTCTTCTACAGTATGCAGATTCCAATCTTTTCAGCCTGGAATCAAAGTTTAGAACAGATTAAATGAGGCCAGCTTGGCAATGTCTTACCAGACACTGTTACGAAAGTCACAAAAGAAAACCTTGTTAAATATCTACAGCTGTGCTATACAGCTTTAGTCATATTAATAAACCAGAATTACCAGAATTTAGAAAAAGAATATAGTTAAAAATAATTTGCTCTCAAGAAGAAAGAAATGTGGAAGTAGTTCACCATTCAGGCAGAAAAAAAATTATGGCTGGCCTGTAACTTCTTTCTTCCTCTTCTACATTAAAAATAAGTAAAAAGAACCTAACCTTTTAGTAAGATAAAAACATGTATTCCTTCTATTTAGAACAGTCATTCTTGATGGTAAAACAGTAGACCAAATCTGCACTCAAAGAAAGCTGCACAATCTTCTGACATTCACCTTAGATACTGAATGATTAACACTTTACTTATCTCTACAGACCACATTCTGCACATTTTGTGAACAAAAACTACTTTTGACACAGAAGTTAGGAGATAAATTTAGACCCCATCACTGTGACATGCATATAATGGGAATTAGGTAAAGAGCTGTATTGTAAGGAATAATACTTAGTTAAATCGCACTTTAAAACAAGTATTGCACGCGTGATGCTGCCAAAATAAAGTATTCTTCAAGCAATCATGATCTCAGCAGTACAGGTGTAACTATTACAGCTGGTTCTATTAGTTTCTACTGGTGAACTATAAAGTGATGTTACCAAGTTTCAGTCCTATGGAATTTCCTTTCAATTAAAGCCCATAAGCTTGCTATAAACACACATTTTCAAAGGAGCCCTCTCTTTTTCCTCTTAAGGTGAGGACTGACAGCCCTTAGCAGGCAGTGGACTATACGAAGCACTATGAAAAATCCTACAAGATGTCTGGGATAGAAACAAACACACCATACAGGACAATCTACATCCCCTCAGGTTTTTTTAAGTCCTAATGAAAAAACAAAATTGAAAAAAAATCAAAATAGAATTACTATTTCTTATCCCAACTGACAATGTTCATGCAGTCTAGTAAACAGATGCAATAAAACATGCAGTATCCTTTTAAGGTATTATTTCATAAGCACAAATCTCAAGATTCTACTTCAAAGTTGTAACTATTATCATTCAGTTTTATCGTTAAGTACAAGGTGATACCGAGCCACTCAAATGACACAGGTGCAGAAGATGGTACAATATTGCAATGACTTCTACATACTTCTGTTTACAATGAAAAAGAGCACAGTGCTCAACACAATTATGATTTATAAAACAGAGTCAACTTACAGGGTTATCAGTAGATTCATCAGCCAACTGTAAACCAAAGTAATCTCTCTCTGTCAAATCAAGATGCTTGAAGACTACATCCAATAGAACTTGTCCCTGATCATGTTTCTGCAGAGAAACACATATATTGTTTAGTGAACAAATAAATAATTGGACACACAGACTGAATTCAGGCAGGCAGAGCACATACAATTTCTTTCAGATGGGCTCTGGCCACCTAAATTTTATGTATCACAAAGTGTATCCCAAAAGTACTATTTTTAAAACAAGATCATCTCTCTTTTTGAAGCATATGTAAAGAATTAGTATTTTTCTTCTCTGTCATTTTCTGAGAATAAGAATTTCTCCCTTCTCAGCTAAGTACATGATTATTCCTGAAAGCCATTTATTAGCAAAATTTGATATTTAAAAGTAGTACTGAAGAAAGAAAAGGAAAGGAAAAAAGGCTATGATTTGACAAAGAACTTCATAGCCTTTTTTGGGTCACTGAATTTGAAAGTATAGGTGTACAAGTTAAGAATAACTATTTTATCTGAAAAACTATTTCTGAACCTAAACGAACCAGCGTATTGAAAATGTTTCCAAAGTCAAATGGCACAGACAGCTGAAGCAGCCAAATATCTGAGATGTGCGATTTAAATGTGTTCTCTAAAAAATACTGCTTTACTCCAAATGAACGAATTCAACTGAATAACTTACATTGCCTTGCAGAGACAAGTGAACAAACTTCATTTCTACCACAGGCACAAATCTTACCCACAAATGATATATTAAGAATCTGTAGTTGTTGGTACCTAGCATTTTTTTGCCTAACCTGCAAATACTGCCACCACAGTAACTGAAACGCTGAGTGTGCCATTATGGCAGGGCTCAATAAATACATGGGGTGAAACCTGAAGGGAGTTCCCCTAAGAATTTGAAGTGTCATAGCTTCTTGAGGTACAAAAGATAAGAAAATATTCTGCATGAACAACTATCAAACAACAAAAAAAACTATTTAAGAGATAATTGATACATTTTTCCGCCCAGATTTTCTTCTTCTCTGGTACTAAGAAAGCTTCTAACCATCTTCTAGGTGCCAAGTATTACTGATACTACAGTGGATTTGACACATCTTGCGTTGTTTACTGTAGGCAATAAGATATTTTTGAAATTTTAAAGCAAAAAAACTGCTGTTCTGCTCCCAAATGACCTCTCTCGTCATAGGGATTATACAACACTTTACTTTTACAGCTTTTAAAACAGACATACATAAATGCTAAATGAACAAAAGAAGGTTGCAAGAATTTCATTAATTTCCACAGAAGAAAAATCTACAAATCAAGTTGAAGCATTTGTTAACACTAAAGAGCATCCTCTCGAAACTCATTGTTTTCTGTTCAGCTGACATTACACAGAAGTTGAGTAAACTGTCAAAACCATTTCTTTGGACCAAGAACCCCAAGTCACTTGATAATTTATTTCATAATAACATAAGTTAAAAAATAATTATCAACAAATCATGTTTGAAATTATTCCAGCAGGACAATCATAACCATAGCTCCGCATATTTAAGCCGAAACTACATAAGGCATGTATTTCAGGTCCCATATAATTTTGGCTAAGTTAAAGTGACCTAAGAATCACTGTATTTACTTCGAAAGATCTTACTTTTAAAGAAATCATATGGAGAAAATTTCTTGATGTTTAATTAAATTAACAGCCAGTAGGAGCAGCATTGTTCACTATTGAAAAAATTACTTTTCAATACGTAAAAACAAGCAAAGAAGAAAACCCAGATGTTAACAGAATAAATACACAACAGTATAAATGCATAAGGCAATTGTAATGTACAATCCAAAAATAGTCACTTTCATTTTTACTAAATTAGGAGTTTCTGATATATTCTGAAATAAACCAGTAATCAGTACAATTTTCTCAGCAAATAAAACTAATTTTAAAATTACACAGCAACACTAATTGCTTCTTGGCATTTTTCCCCATGTAGATTTAAATCAGAACTCAAACTAAGAACTTAGTGATAGTAAATTTCAGAAAACAGGAGACATTTGAAACCCGTGTTTAGGCTCATATTTACCACAGCTGACACGTTACTACTTAGGAACATGCAGATCTCAATTCTGTAGCTTTTTTCCAATCTAAATCTGAGAATCTATACTGTTTCTTAGACATGTGAATAGTTGTTTCCTAACAAAATGATAGAACTTGCTGATCAGTTTGAATTTAGTAATACAACCACAAGGCAGGCATTTCTCCTGCAATAAAGCAGCAAATTTGGTAAGAGAAGGCCAGTTTCAACATGAAGCATTTGTTTTGATCACAATGTTTTACTCCGAGTGCAAAATTAAGATAAGCACGTAGTAAAACCAGACCTCAGTTTAACCCATCTCTGGTATTTATATAATGATGTGGCAGCTTGTCAGAGCAGGCAAAGGTCACAATCCTGCTTGTTGTGAAAGGTCCAAAATATTTGTAATACACTCACAACCACTGAATAGCTTCTAGATATTGTAGTAAGTATGATAACAAGTTTCTACTTTTGCCTTTTTTCAAATAAAAAAGCAAAACCAAATAAATGTGGATTAGCATAAAAAGAAACTTGCTTTATTCCTAAAGTTGAACATGAATATTTCCTCCTTAAATAGGGAAAAATATATGAAAAATGGGAACTATCTAACATAAAACTGCAGTAGTTAGATACAAAACATCAACATTTTTTCTGAACTGGAATATTAAAATGTTGTGCATATTACTTCTTAGTCATTGCTGGAGGCAAATTGTCTAACAGATTTTGGCCTTTCAGAAGAGATTTGACACCAACACTAGACATCACTGTATTACCTGCACTTTATCCAGTATCTATCATCATCTAGTGACTAACATCTAGTACCACTAGATCTATAGACGTTAATTTCTAATCCCAAAACGACTGTTTGCTTTTTACAAACACCCATGTTTGAAACTTTAGGAAAACATCCACAGTTACATAGATTTAATGCCTGCTTACCAACTTCCACCACGATCTTCCCAATTTACGCTACTGATGTTCTGGTTTTGTTGCTGGCCTACAGAACCGGCTGCATCTACAGCAAATGCCAGGAGCTGCTATGCCAGTCAAACAAATTGGGATTTCCAATGACAGAAATGGGATGACAGGTGCCAGGTTTTGCCAGAGGGGGTCAGACAGCTCTGCTGCTCACGGGTCTGTGGGAGGCTGCACTGCTCCTTCACTACTGACAACACTGGGACCTCTCGCAGCTCATCACGACTCAAGCAAGCGCATCCATAAGCAGCCAGTGCTGTGCTACTGTCTCCTCCCGTTCTACAGCCTGTGTGAGCTTTGCAAAAAGGTAGCTTTTTTAAAAAAAAAAAAAAAAACAAAAAAAAACTTCCAAAAAGGCTATTCATTTTTTTGGTGAAAGAAAAGGGAAGTAACTAAGTGTTGCTAATGGTTAAATTATTAAGCATTTTCAATTGCAGGGGGGTTTGTGTGGGGGTTTCGTGTTTTGTTTTGAGTTATTTTACAGATTATCAGATTTTACTTCTATTAGAGTGTAAATTCATCAGCTTGGAGGAGCATTCTGAGATAATAAAGGCTCCAAATTGAACCATTTGTCCACCACTGCTAAGCTAGTAGCCTTGTTTACAGAACAACTCATCCCATCTACCTTGACTTAGTTGTCCCTCAAGTTCACTGTGATCCCTGTATCAATGTACTGGCTTACAGCTATGTCAGCCTGCACAGAAGAGATACGCTTTGAGGTATTTAAGCAATTAATTAAAACAATTTGATCCTGACAAAGCAGGTTTACAGCAATGCAAATCATCCTGATCACATTCAGCCTCACTTCTTCCAGCTCTGCTTTCTATGAAGTTTGCTTTTCCAGGTCGAAGTAGCAGTTCTTCAATTGGTAAGCAGAGCATTTTACAGAAAGGAATTCTGCTCTTCAAACATATGCACAGGTTAGTTCCAAGTGATTCTTCTGCCTGCAACCAAAATAACCTTTGTCTGGCTACAATCCACAGGGATTCTTTGATTTGATATGCTCTATACAAGGTAAGGCTTAGCACAAAGAATGCCTGTTTTGGCACATCAATGGAAAAGGCTGGTTGAAATGTGAACTTAGAACACGTCACAAATTAACAAGAGACACTGTGATCAGTTCTTTTCTGTTGGAGAAGAAATAGCATTTAAGTACACTGTTATTCATACATCTCTGCATACTCCAGATGATTAGGTTTATAATCATTAGCATACAGAATAAGTATAGCAATCATCAGGAGAAAAGCAACTTGCTAATTTATTTGATGTTATCTTTGTTCTTCCTATTTTGAAAACAATTCCATAAATATTTATTGCCAAGGACTGTATCAGCCACAAGAAAGAAAAACTCAGCTATAAACCCTGAAAACCCATACACCATGTAGGTTAGCATATATTTCCTATGATTGAATACTTCATTACTCCCTTTTTTTGAAAAAACAGATTGAGGCTAATACCAGAGATCAAAAAGTTTGAGTACCAAGGGGCTTTTTATTCCCCAAACTCAGTTTTAATAGACAAACTTGCAGGCTGATCTATATAAGCAGTAAAGCGTGATCCATGCAACTAAAATATTTAGTACACTAGAGAGGTGGTGAGAACATATTACATAATTTTTTCTTGGGAGAGACAGAATAGACATTTGAGGATTTATAACTGGTGACTCTGCTCCAGACAGGCACTAGCATTCCTTAACAATATACAACTTCTGAACACCTTGATGAAAAAGAAGCGTAACTTCCCATACCTATTGTACAACAATTATTCTTTATTTTAGCCAACTCCTATAAACAAAAAACTGCAAGGCATATTTTAATGGAAAACTCATGCACCTGAAAGCACAGAACACAACGCTTAAAATTTCTCATGCACTATTAACATTTTGTCTCCAACCACGTTGTGCACATACTGCTTTTTGGCAGGCAGTATAGATCTGTTAGCAAGGAGGAGAAGATAGGAGACACAGAAGAGCAGTGGAATATTGTAGAGAAAAAAAGGAAAAAGGTATGTAAGAGCAATTATCCTAGAAAGGAGATGATGTTGATATGTCTTTGGTCATCTCTCCCCCAGCTCCATCATCAATCATTCCCACCCTTAACTATTCAAAAGTCCTGAAAAGTTAAATAGCTTCTCAACAAACTACAAAAATGCCTTAAGAGAACATCCCAAAACCTTCTATCTTGACTGAAAAATCTAAACCAAATAACCATCAAGTCTACCTTACTCATGCTGAAAATGCAAAAACCAGAATGGAGTAAGAAAAAAGATGGCTTCTCATTCAACTCTAGCAAAACTGCCCTCCATTTCCACTATACAACTTCAGCCCGTGAAGACAATTACTAGAAATAAGCTATGCTTTGTACACTCAATTGTGAAATGAAAATCTGTTAGTATCATAAAGGATGCCAGAATGACTAAGTTCACAGCGACTTAGTACATACCTGTACAAGCATGCCTGCCTTGAACAAACCTTCTTCTATTCTCTAAGTAACACTATTCCGAAAGTCAAACTTTAGCCATACAATTCCAGCAAAGGAAAGCAAGATCAGTGATACTGATTTGCAATAAGCAAGTTACTTACATTAACTCTGAAAGCTTGTACAGTGTTATCCAGGAGAAGAATGTTGCAGATCACCTCCGTATGCTGCCTGTCTCGTGCCAGCTCAGATGCTCGTACATTGTAGGTTCTGCCAGCAGGCAATCGGAAACGTGCGGTCATTACTGTCCACACAGAGTCTCTAGGCAAAACAAAAATAAAATTTAGAAAGATCAAAAAGTGCAAATGCAAGAATATCATACTTCAAACACACAGCAAGTCCACTGTTAAACTCTATCAGAGACAAAAGCAAAATAAACACTAAATTCATGGTATCCAATAACAAAACAATTTCTTTCAAATCACAACACAACCTTATTCCGAAATACTCAGTCCTTTACTCTCTGTCCATTGTCAACTCCCTCCACTTTTAAGGTTGTTTAGTGAATTTGAGGGTTTTCTGTACTTTTGTACTTTTTCTGTTTTGTTTTAAGAATAAAGAACAGCATTTTCACTTCAAAAAGCATCGTAATTGCTGGGCTTCATGGCTACTGGGCTCCCAATATTAGAGGCAATTAGGTAATTAATTTCAGTGAAAGAAAATAACGCTTACACCTAAAAGCTTTATGGAGAAAAAGCATGCAGGAAAGAGAACAGCAAATTTTGATGCATTCTTCTGCAAAGCTTGTGCATTCATTGTATAATTAAACATGAGAATACACAGCGATAAGGAACCGTGACCAACAGAAGTCTACACCCTGTGCTGAGTGCTGATAAATAAAATGCAAGAGTTGAAATGTGACTTCCACTTTTCAAAACTAAGGTTAGAATGATTATCCTGCAACCCTAGCCCAGCAAATCACTTAAGTGCACACCTGATGCCACTAGCCCTAGCCAACAATACTAGTTATTTTAAGTGCTTTGCAGGATCAGGGCCTGTGATTCACTTAATTACATACTCAAAACTATTTCTACATCCTTTGACAAGGGCATAAGCAAACAAAGTTTCATAACTTAAGTAGAGAGTATATAGAAATAGAAAATTAAAATATCTTAAAGAATAGTGAAAGAAAACAGATATTCTCAAAACTGACTATAAAAAGATCAATTTACCTTATTCTGTGAAAAATTATTAAGACTTCAAAAATGTTTACATGTTTGCTTCCTATTTTGAGAGGGGTGGGTGCATATCATGACAGAAAAAGGACGTTTAGCAGAGGACAACAAACATCCCAGCAGTGATTAGAGAACTTGCCTGGATCGTAAAAGATATCTATGCTCAGATACACACGACTGTATAGGGGTAACAAGTAAAAGATGAAACCCTTCCTAAAGCGTTAATAGCTTAGATACTTTGGCCCCTACGGGAAAGTAGAAAACCAAGATCCAAGCCTCCTGTATCAGGAAGGACCAGGAATTTAGAGTTCAACTTTCTTCCCACTGCCTTCAGCCAACATCCCAAGTCACTGGCCTCAAAATCCCTCAGGTATTTTGCTTTTCTAGAGTACATCTTCAGCTCTTTCAGCATGACCACGCATCTCACACATAAAAGTCTTTTTGATTATATTCATCCTTGCAAAATGTTTCAGTCTTGACCTCACTAGCATTTTCTGATTAAAAAGCATTTGTTTCCTTACCAGAGAGCTTGCTTTTTTTTTTGGCTACTCAGTCACTCTGGCTTCAGACCTGCAATGCTGTATTCATGTAGAATTACAGCAAGTTGACTTTTGTTTTTCTAAGCCAACACGACAAACTGAGGAAGGATGAAGATACCAAATAAACATACCAGCTGCAAGCTAAGCTTATGAGTTTCTCTAATGATCAAATAATGAAAAATTGTGTCACAGACATTAAGACTCCAAAGTAAAGCCTAACAAGAAAGCACACGTTTGCCGAAAGCTCATGAAGAGGCTGCTTCTGCTCGGCCTTCTACAAGTCTCAAAAATTAAAGAAAACTCTAAGAACAGGTAACACTCTCCACACCAGAGATCTGAGCCAACAATGTAACATTTCACAAACGGCATTTTATCTCACATAGGCACAATCTAGAAGCCAATCACGTTACTCGCCGTAACAGCGAAAAGATCAGCATCTGTACCAGTACAGTTACACAACCAATACCTGTAGCCAAGACTTTAGAGTGGTATTTACCTATGAGCTGAATCAAAAAGAAGGGTTTGGAAAAGCTCGCAATTTTATTAAAAACAGTTTATCCATACCACAGACACAACCCTTGGACAGGCATATTTTACAAGACTTCGTAAGTGAAAAATCAACCAAGACAGTGAGGATTACCTCAGAGTCCTTTCCAATGAATACAAACACCAGTGCACAAAGTAAGACCGTTTAGCTTCCAAATAAGTATTGCAGTCCTCACAAAACCATTTGGTAGTGACCTAGGAAGGTCTAACCCAACAATTCACAGTTTTGCAGCAGAAAAAAGACAACTTAAGGCCAGAAACCATTATGGTTTAAGGGAACAAAAAGGCAAACCTCACCTTTGCTGCCTGTTCTCTCCCCTATTTTTGTCTTATTTGCTGATCAAGACGAACAATATTTTTTCCTTCCTCATCACTGCCTTAAACTAGACCAGAAATTTGTGGGTTTCAAAAAAGGCAACAAATTCATAACAGTGACAAAGGAGAGAATCTGCCCTCAGCGCTCCTCAAAATCTTTCAACACCAAGCAACCAACCATCACATCCTTCGACAGACCCAACCCGCAAACCTTGCAAAGTTCTTTCTGTAACACAGTTGGTCTTGACTCCAACCATAAACACTGAACAATCGCAATGATCCGTGTCTTTCTCAACGTACATAAATGAAGTGGTCAAATTCAAGAAAGCAAGCGGTATTATGAGCTTTCAAACATATGTATTGTGTTTGCCAAGGAAACAGAACCATCTACACGGGGTTAGAACAAGAGCTGATCTAGGTGACAGACCCGAAGGGCAATGCTTTCTCACTCCCTTTATGGAAGGAAGAAATGAATAGGACACATACATAAAGATATTTCTCAGGCTGCCCAGAGAAGCTGTGGATGCCCCGTCCCTGGAAGTGTTCAAGGCCAGGCTGGATGAGGCTTTGAGCAACCTGGTCTAGTGGAAGGTGTCCTTGCCCATGGCAGGGGGGTTGGAACTAGATGGTCTTTTAGGTCCCTTCCAACCCAAACCACTCTGTGATTCTATAAGTTTCTTCCATGAAACTAAGAGGCTTTTGCAATTACAGAAAAAACTTAGTTTTTACAACTAAGTGTAATGACTGAAACCCTGAAATACCTCTACAAAATGGAAACATAACTACCATGAAAGTAATAGAGAGGAAGGTGACAAAAGACACGGCTATTTTCTGCAAGCTATATTCAAAATTATTCTTTCCCCATATGTCACCAAAGCAACTATGGAAGTAAGTAGGCATTATGTTAAAATGCCTTCATCACCACACACTCCTTCAAAAAACCTCCCCTTTTCTAAGATCTGCCAGGGCTATTACATGTAAGTGCTTTGTGGCCAATCGTGTACACAACCCACATTCACGCCTCTATCAGCATACGCACATACAGAAAGGACACAGTTGTTAAGCACAGACAGACCTTGCAATTACTAGTCCTACTGTGACATACTTATTTTGCAATATAATCGGCCCTGAACTGTACCCATATCATCTTTACTGCTCCTTTCTTCCAGAAACACATGCACCAAAAACACAGACATCATTTCTCCTGACCTGTTATTGCTATTCTTGTTACACATTTTGAAAACATAGATGGCTAGCTATTGCTTATGAGGTTATAAATCATAACTATCTGATATCCCAGCCAATATTGATATATAAAATGACTGAACTGAAAAATTCAGATACGCTGGTTGCAAATTTATGAAATAAAAATATGTTATAGCTAAAGTTGATATGGAACGAATAAAGGACTGACTTCAAGCTCCAAAGCAAAATCTTTGCAACCCCAAAATAAACCAGAGTAAAGACAAAAGGTGAGATTCAACAAAAAACCCGATATGAGAACAAATGGTTTAAACAGCAGGTCAGCTACTTAGCAAGATACTGTGTGTGCATATCCATGTCATGGACATCACCATGGCCGCTTGCCCTAAAAATCTGTCTATATATACAAGTGGATTATTTAAATTGCCTTTAAATCGGATTAATCTTTTCCTATGAAGGTTTTTACTTAAAATTTTTCAGCATCTTCTGCTAGGCATGTAATATCTAGACACTTGAATTAATAATCCAAAGCATGTGCTGCTACAGCAACTGGAGGAGGACAGAACTTGCGCAATGACACTCCACTTACCCCTAAGGTCTGTGGAGTAAGTCCTACATTTCCTGCCTGAGCTCAGGTTTCAAGCGATGAAGCAATGCTAGGGAGTGTTCTCTATCAAAGGGCAGAACGTTTCTGCGATACTGGCTTGGTTAGGGCCTCAAAGAGCACACAGAAACTTGACAAGTGAATTTTCATCAACCTTTATTTTTTTATGTAAAAGTACACAGTAAAACAACAATTTGCTTGGGCTTACAATAAACTAACCAATTTTAAACACCCTAATAAATAAGCAGTTGGTTAAGAAGATAATTCACTGAAATTTAATTTATCCAATTCGCTGACTTGAAGAGTTCTTTAAAAGAGAGTTTGCATCATGTACCATACACAAAGACAACCACCACAGTACAGCGTGCACATGTGCATAAAGGTCATGAGAAACCTCATTTTTCATAGCTAATCTAAAGCAGCTAAGAACCTAATGCATTGCCAGGTTTCCATTTGCTTAGAAGTTGGTATTTAGCAACCCAGAAGGCATTATTTCCACTGTAGCCCACCTGCTGATCTCGGTCCAACATAGTACACATGAATTTGCCAGAAGAAGTAGAAAAAAGTAGGCCAGACTCATGGAACACCCACATTCTTCTAAGATGATGTAGCACAAATACATTAAATAGATTACAGACCCCATGATTACTAAAATTATCCAGGCATTCCAATTAGGAGGAAAAACACCCATACTAGAAACAAGAAAATTTTGAATGTTTAAACAGAATAACACAACCTACTGTATTTCAAACCAACCCTGAGTTATATCTAGAACCCATTTTCAAATACATTTACTGAAAACATGTTAGTGAAACTATATTAATTGCTTTGACCAAAACCAGTTTGAAAATGCTGAACATAAAGATGACTGTGCACT